ATTCACCTTTAAATCATTGATTATTTCTATGTTAAACCCTAAACCAACAAATGTATGCCCTAAACCAAAGATTCATGAATTCTCCTTTTTATTTTATATTTTTAGTAATGTTTTCTTTGTATTTTAACATATTAAACTAATGTTACAATATGTATAACAAATTTAACTCATGAATTAAGTCAATCGAATTTGATATTATATTTGTCTTCTTTTTTTTTTTTGGCAACTTATTATATTTGTCTTCTTGTAAGAATACTTACAACAAATGCTTTCACAATGAACCTTCACCAAAAAAAATGCTTTCACCATGAACTGCTCGAATCATCAAAACTTCAATATTTTTGATTTACACAAATATATATATGAAAAGGTTACAAAAATAATGGAAAACTCGGGAAAGGCTGGAATCAATGTGGTGGTCATCTTCTTCATCACCGTGTCGATTCGGAAGCCCACCAGGACGAACCACTTGCAGCTGCAAACATACATTATTAACCAATTCAATATTCAGAAATGGAAAGCTCGACGAGCTCTTGCTCTGTTCTATCTCAACTTTATAAAATCAGAAGCAAAATCAATTCGAACAATCAAACAACAAAATTTCAGTGACCCAGAAGAGAAGCAGTGGAAATTACAACTCATTGTGTACAATCCCATTCCGGATTCATAAGCTTCACTAAAACAAAACACAAAACCCATGAGTATCAGAATCATTTCTCGAGCATAGGAAAGAAGAAATAAGAGCCAAACTCGCAGGATCTGAAAAAGCATAACCTAGAGCTAATCCAAAAAATCTGATTCTTCTTCACCTAAACCCTGAAACCTAGCAATAGAGGTAACCAAAATTGTTGTTTCAAGAAATCGAAACAACAACCCAAAGGTAATTAGATCTACGATGTTGGTATGAGGAAGAAAGAGAGATGATGTGTTCATTTGGTTTCATGACAGATGGATAAATGCAGGGGAGGAGATGAACGAAGGCGGAAGAAGAGAGAAAGGGGAAATGGCAAAAGGGAATTTTGCATCATAGGGAAAAGAGATTTTTTTATTTAAATGACCCTAATTTTTTTTACTAAATTTTTATTTGGTATGATTAAAAATTCTCGGTTTTAATTTTAATTTTAATTTGGGCGGGCACTAAAAATTTTCATTCCCGGTTAGTCATACCATAACGTTTTACAAATCGCATGTGCTATTACAGAGCAACGAGGAAACAAAAAAATTAAGTGGGACAACAATTATTTTTACCGCCCGACATACCATAGCGTTTTTGTTTCATAAACGCTACGAAAAAATCAAATATACATCAACCATAGCATATACACATTGAACGCTATCTTAAAATGCTATTAATAGTGATCGATCCTAGGGATCAAAGGAAACTCAATGATAGTAAAAGATGGATGTGCATTGGAAGGTTTGTGTATATGTTCGGAGGATGTTCATTGTGCTCCTACCAAAGGTTATTTGTGTCGACCGGGGAAAGTTTACAAAGAAGCTAGGGTTTGTACACATGTCAGTGACATCACGCATAATTAAGTGATTCAATCAGTAAGTTATGAAACTTCATTGATTCATCGTCTTTACAGGTCGATATATTTATTAGTGACAAGTTGTTGCTAATGTTGTTGTACTAACAATAATGTCGGGTGCAATAAAATTGAAATTTTCGTGAGGCAAAATACTTTGTGGAGAATATACTTATTTATACAGCTAAATGATACAAAAAAATACTTCGTGGAGAAGAGATACACAGCTAATTATATATCTTTTAATACATCAAATATCTTTAATATAAAAATTGCACAACCCCTGTCAATAATTTGAAATGGCTCTGGTTTGTATTAAATAGTTTCATACTGTCAACGCATTCCAGAGTTGAGTTCAAAAGATATCTATGCAAATCACCGTTTTATAAATAATTTTCAAGAGATGCCTACTGAGGCGAATAATAGAATATTATGACTATCTCTTATAATATTTTAAGGTTTTCTCTTTTCAAAGTCTCTGAAAAGTTGCCACATGTCTTCTATATATTTGTCATGTGTCTTTTTTTTTAATTTCTAACACAACACACTATTTTTGCAATACACTATTTTTGCATCACATTTTCGGTTTTGTTTAATTGTTTAGACCAAAACGGTTCAAACTATCCGAATTCATCAGTCCTACCACTACCTTAACAATCAATGTGATTAATAACACTCGAAACGTTATTTTGACCACCCAATTAAAAAATCAACCGTAAATGGAAAAACGACCATCATTAAGTCATTAAACCAGCCAAAATGTCCAAATGAATGGTTACTTTCTTCTTCACAAAGTAGCTTATTATATAAACTCAACTCGAGTAACGAGTTGAATATACACACGACAATGTCTTTTCCAATGGAAAGTTCCGATTGATCTTCCATGCAACATCCTTGATATTTCTGGTTCTGAATGATGTAATCTTGGACATAAAAGCCGAGAAAAAACGCATAGATCTTTATTGCAAGCATTCAGATTCACGGATTGCCGATAAAAAAAAAAAGTATAGACTTTACAATCTTAAGAAAATTCTCCGACGAGAAGGGTTTCCGGCAATGAAACATATGCCATTCAGAAACAACTTTCATGTGAATATGGTACGGATCATGGACGATTAGTTTCATGGCATTGTTGGAATCAGGTATGCATTTCTATTTTTGGTAAAATAGAATGCATTTCTTTGAATTGTGAATTTATAAGACCTTTTCATTCAACTATGATAGTAAGATTAATAAGTCGATTACAGAATGGGACTGATGGTTTTCTCTGGATGAATCAAGAGCATAAATCCAAATTTTAATTTTATCTTTACTAATTCTATGATTTTGTTGTAGGTGTGAATATGCACTATTGAAGTTATTTTAATCTCTTAATTAGATGACAATTGAAATAGCTGACTAACAAAATTACTGGTATTGTATTATGTCTCTCAAGTATTA